GCCGAAGCTCCCGCTGGCCCCGTGTGCACTGCAGTCCCAGGGGCACCGGAGTGGGGGCAAAAATGTCGACAGGACAGGCAAACGCCCAGCCTCTTGCTTCTTCCCAGACCACCGGCCAGGTCTCTCGCACTGGGGAGTGACTGTGGTGACAGAAGCTGTTTATCCAGGATGGGCTGCATGCTGGTGTCCTCAGGGGCGGCCCCAGGGTGGGACCCAAAGCCAAATGCTCCAGCCGGGCTCGGTCTGCAGGGGGCAGTGCAGCCAGGCCCAGGCTCAGGGAAGGGGCCCAGGCCAGAGCCAGGAGTCTGCAGGTGTAGGGACTGGGTGGCTACTGACGCTGCCGGATCCAGGTGTGAGACAGACCTGCTGACCCCTCGGAGCCCCTTGCAGCCAGAGGAGGGAACGTGGGTGGACAGAGTGGGCAGAGCAGGACTGCAGGGCCCAGCATCATGGACAGGGGGACCTGAAGCCTGGGTCTGTAGCAGGTGCACCTGGGCCCCACTCGGGGGCTGCTCCTGGAGTGGGAGGGCAGTGTCCAGGCCCCACCCAGTGAGGGGCCACCTCGTGGGGTCAGGTGCCTTGCTCTGGACAAGGCTGCCCCAGGCCAGCACCCTGTGGATGGAGACGCTCTGGACAGGACTGAGGGAAGCTGGGGCCTGGGACTGGGTTTGCTCACATGGGCAAGGTGGGATGGGTGGGCTGGGCTGTCCCCCAATGATGGCGTCTTCCTCCCATGAGGGCCGGTGTGGCCCCAGGGACCCGTGTCCCTTGCCTGCCTGTCCTCGGAGGCTGAGGGGGCATCAGAGACCCCCAGCAGGGCCCTCCTTGGCCACAGCAGGAGGTCTGCGGCCAGGTGGAGAGAGCCATGCCTCACTGGGCCCCTCCCACTGTCATTGCACGAGACCGCAAGCAGAGGGAGACCACGTTCCACACGCAGCTCCGACCTTCCTGCCACAGGTCTGAAGGTCACTGCGCTGGCCCAGGCCTGGCCGCAGAGTCCCAGCGCCGGTGGGTGGGAGGGCTCTGGCTCAGAGGCCCCCAGGCTGGGTCTGCACAGCGTCTACTGTGGAGACCCCGATGGCAGCCACCATCCAGCTCCTGACAGTGGGGGCGGGTGTGGATGGCAGGGGGCTCTGAGCCCCCGCAGCACTGAATGGAGGTCCAGTCACTGCTCCCATGCCTGCACTGGGGGTCTGCAGGGGTGGGGTGGAGGCTGGTGGCCTCCTCTCTTGGCTGGGGCTCTTAGAGGCAAAGTGGTGGCTTCAGGGGCCCAGACGGGTGCCCAGTGCCTCCCCTGAGCAGGTGGCCCCTTGCAAGTGCGGGAGGCACCCTGGGGCCTTTGGGTTGTGGGTGCAGGACAGGGACAGAGAGACAGGGCTGGCTTTGGGCCCAGGGCCCCCGTGGACAGGGCGGTCTCTCTGTGCTGCCTCCAGGAAGATGCCACTGAGGACGTCCCCAGGCAGTGTTGGGCGCAGCCCCCGGAACTGGAGGCAGGGAGTGTTCAAAGCCAGAGGAATAGCCCAAGTTACTGCAAGGTCACAGGTGGAATTTCGTTCCACCAACGTGAATGGAAGACCACGCAGTCATTTCCTATGGCTGTGGAGCTGACCCCAGACGTGAGGTCTGAAAACCATACAGAGTCTGCGTCTAAGAGCCTGACAGGGCTGGGTCTCTTGCAGGCTCCAGGGGGTCTCTTGCCTGGCCATCCTGGTCTCTGGAGGCCCCTGCTCCATCCCCCTGGCTCCCGCCAGGGCATCCAGATGATCCATCTCCCAGCCAGGGCCCTTCATTCTAGCGGCTGACTTGGGGCCGGTGCTGTGGGGCAGCAGTTAAGCAGCCGTCTGAGTCCTGGCTGCTCTGTTTCCAATCCAGCTTCCATCTAATGCCCTGGGAAGGCAGCGGAAGGTGGTCCCATGGTTGGGCCCCTGCACCCGCATGAGAGACCTGGATGGAATTTCTGGCCCCTGGCTTTGGCCTTGCCCATTCCCAACCAGAGCTGCCATTTGGGGGCGTGACCAGAGGATGGAAGATTCCTCTATCTCTGCCTTTCAAATAAACAAATAAAAAATCTTCAAAAACAAAAAAAGAAATTGCCAAAGAGGTCAGCATCAGTGAGGGGGGTATCCTCTTCCCGTGCTGGACGCTGGACGCTGGACGCTGGATGGTGCTGGGGTTGCCCTTCCGTGGGCCTTTAAGCTTTCTGTGCCAACAGGAAGTTACATGTGAGGACGCACAGCCCTGCCACCCCGTGACCCCTGAGCTCTGAGCTGCGTCTCCCCTGGCCTCACATCCATGCTCTGCCTGGGGGCCTCCCAGGGGCACTGGGAGGGCAGTGGGGAGCTCAGGTTGGGGGATAGACAGGGCCCGGCCCCCGCTGAGCCTGGGTCCCATGTCCTTATGGGGTCTTCCCTGGGGAAGGGAGTATGTGAGGCATCCTTCCACCTGCAGCCTCCAGGGCTGAGCTCTGGGCAGGGAGCAGGCTGGAGGTCACAGGTCACAGGTCACAGGTCTGCCTTCAGACAGGCGCTGACCATTGGTTTTAGGATGGAGCCTGGCTGGGTCCCTGTTTGGTTCAAGCCACAAGGTGGCGTTGGGGGCAGCCGGGCGACCTGGGCACTTGGTGGCTCCCACTCCTGGAGGATGAAGTTCAAGGTGAAGATTGGGGTGGGGCTAGCTCCCCCTACAGCCCCTGTCCTGGCCCCCTGGGTCCTCAGCCATCGCCCCGAGAGGCCTCATCTCCCCTTGCCTCAAGACCCCAGCCCATGGGGTGTCCCTGTGAAGGCCTTGTCTGTGGCCACATTCTGGGGTGCTGGGGGCGGGGCTTCCACAGATGAGCCTGGGGGACACAGCTCTGCCCTGAGGGACTCCTCTTCCAGGCCGGGTGGGGGCCAGGCACCACGGGGGCTGGGTTTCTGAAGTTCCCACTACTGGGTCAGCTTTTCCTTGGAAGCCCCCTGCCCAGCTCCCTGGGTGGGCGGGTTTGCTCCTGTGGGCTGAGCCCTGCCCAGTGTCCAGGAAGGAGGCCGGGAGGCTGTGGTTGCATCCAGCGGAGCTGACCGAGGGTTGCATCTGGGATGGAGAGGCCGTACACTGGGCCCTCACTCTGCCGTGGAGAACGCTCCGGATTGCACCTGCAGGGAAGCGGCTGGGCACAGTCTCTGATTTTGTGCCTGCCCGGTCTGCATGCCGTGGGCCCCCAAACCCCTCAAAGCCAGTGCCTTCACCCCCTCCCCCAGTGATCTCGCCACTGAGCTCCACAAGCCCCAGAGGAGCCAGCACCAGGATATTCCCTGGGCACCCGGACATTGGCTTCCCAGGGACAGGCGGATCCCCCCACCCAAGTGCCCCCCAGGGACACACAGATCCCCTCACCCCCTGTGGCCCCCCAGCAACATACAGAATACCCCACCACCCCCAGTGCCCCCCAGGGACACACAGGTCACCCCACTCCCCATGTTCCCTCAGGGACACACAGATCTCCCCACCCACCAGCGACATACAGAATCCCCCCACCACCCCCAGTGCTGCCCAGGGACACACAGCTCCACCTACTGCCCATACCCGCCAGGGCCACACAGCTCCCCCCACTGACACGTGGTGCCCATGCGAATGACAGCTCCCCCCGCCATTCCCCACCCAAAACCTAGGACCCTGGGGAGACCATACTCTGCGTATCAGGGCTCATAATAATGGGGCTACCAGGCAGATATCTACAAACGATAACTATTTTGACTTTATGACCAAGGACAAAGAAATATCCCCATTTATACATTGAACAAAGGATTTCGAAATAAATAGCTCCTCTATCAGAACCCCGAATCGGGCCCCTGAGG